ATTCCCACCAGCAGTGCACGAGGGTTCCTTTTTCTCTGCATCCTCGCCAGCACTTGTCGTTTGTTAATGATAGCTATTCTGACAGATGTGAGATGGTACCACATTGTCATTTTGATTTGCAAAGAAACCGTCAACAAAACAAAAGAAAGCCCACTGCATGGGAGAACATATTTGCCCATGTTATCACCGATAAGGGTTTAATCTCCAACATTTACAGGGCACTCATACAACTTAAGAAAAGGAAGATAAACAACCCAATCAAAAAATGGGCAATGGACCTAAATAGATACTATTCGAAAGAAGACATTCAGAAAGCCAAGAGACATATGAAAACATGCTCAAAGTCACTAATCATCTGAGAGATGTTTTTTATTTTTTAATACTTCTTTATTTATACAACTGTCAGTGAGTGATGATGACCAGTGCAGGGTACTTTGGGAAGTCCCTGTTTCTAGCAGAGGTTGGGAGAAATCTAAGCCCAGTGGGGGAAGGATCAAAAGCACTTCAATTCTCATTACTTACCTTGAGTAATGTTGACTTGCTGACTTTTAGTCGGACTCACTTTCTCTACTGCCAATGTCAGCAATGAATTTATACCTGACCAACCTCAAATTTTAAAATATTGATTTTAAAGAGGGAGGGAGGGAGGGAGAGAGATACATAGACCAGTTGCCTCCCATCATGCCCTGGCATACGTATGTGCCCTGACCATGAATCGAACCTGTGACCTTCTGGTGCACGAGACAATGCTCCAACCAACTGAGCCCCACCGGCTAGGGCCAACCTCCATTTTTATGAATACGAGTAGAGTGCCTGCCACCCTCCCCGCATTCTGTAAGGCTTTTCAGCCCCAATGGTCTACACATTGGCAACAAACTGCCTACAAGTGGCTATAATTTAATATAATAACCATAATGTAAAAACACAGATTTCTGACCCCAATTTTAACAGAGCAAATAGAACTCAAGAACTCATAATAAAAAACTCTCTAATATTCACACTAGTCCAGTGGTCAGCAAACTCTGGCTCGCGAGCCACATGTGGCTCTTTGGCCCCTTGAGTGTGGCTCTTCCACAAAATACTGACTTCTGCACATGGGCCACAAAGTTTCAATCTCACTGTATGTGCGCGCCCGCACGTGGTATTTTGTAGAAGAGCCACACTCAAGGGGCCAAAGAGCCGCATGTGGCTCACGAGTCGCAGTTTGCCGACCACTGCACTAGTGGATGGAAGCAGATCTACATAACAGCAAGCCCAAAAGGACCTTCCCAAGGCTAATGAGATTACATACATGCAGGTTTTAGCTTAGAAAGTAATAGACAAGGGACTTAAAAGGCAGCCTAGAAGCTCTGGTTTTGGGATGGTCTTAGTCATATGGGGTAGCTAGTAAAATCAAACCAAGAATGTGCCTCTAGCCTAAACACTCGGCTCTCCCAAACAGGAGATGGCTACCTGATCCATTAAGAATAATGAACAGTGTACAAAAGCTACATAAGTATACAGTACCTTTTCCCCCACAAAATGTTTTTTGAAAACAAGAATTCTGTAAGATTGGGGCCATTTCATCTTACAGAAATGTAATACAGTTGTTACTGGCTCAGCATTACTGCCATACCTTTCATAGATGTGGTAATATTTCTCATCCTGTATGCCATCTTGAATGGGCACATTCACACTGTAGTACCGTCCCTTCCCTAGGCCAACATCAGTCACATCACCTGTTCCTGTAAAAGAGATGGGCACCATGAATAGTTTTAAGAACACGAGAATTAGAAAAGTTGAAGGATTCTCTGATAGGAATTCAGAAAACCAGAAGATGAAATAGAGCACTATCCTGTGATGGTTTTTGTAAAAGAATGAATTAAAATAATATGGAGAAGTGACTGTTGAAAATAATGTTGGGGCCGAAACCGGTTTGGCTCAGTGGATAGAGCGTTGGCCTGCAGACTGAAAGGTCCCAGGTTCGATTCCGGTCAAGGGCATGTACCTGGGTTGCGGGCACATCCCCAGTAGGAGATGTGCAGGAGGCAGCTGATCGATGTTTCTCT